GTTTGAGCCATGTCCCGCGGCTGCTGAGCTGCAGCCCTCACCTCCGTGTCCCCTGCTTGTCCAGCTTCTCCTTCTCATTTTGGTTGGTGTGGCGTTACCTCCTGGGGAGGCAGTGGAGCCCCTCTGCCTTGCACGGGGACCGGGGGGAGTGTTGCGCTGCCTCGTCCGGACCCACCTTTGCGGGGATGCTCACAGCCTGCTGCGGCGGCAGCGCCCGAGGGCGTCTCGCAGGGCATGCAGCACACGGTCCACATTGCCGCAGGTCGAGTTGCAGCCCATGAGGCCGATTCGCAGGACCTGGGAGGAGAAGGGCGAGCGTCTCCCTGCGGCACGCATCTTTGTGGCCGTGCCCTGGCGCTGTCTCCCCGTGAGGAGAGCGGCTGGCGGCAGAGCATATGCACAACTCCCTGCTTGCTCCTATAGAACCTGTGTTTCCTCTAAAAATGCGTCACCCCGCTAATTACGCGTGTGGTTATTCAATTATGCGCAGCAATTGTGTGCGGTTAGGAGCCGCTATGCGTTGCTGCGGGCAATGGGATGCAGCCAGCCATGGGTCTGCTGTTTGCATCCCGAGAGCACCAGTTAATCGCCAGCTGATGGACGTGGCCGCAGCCGGGTTTGGTGCCCGGCCATGGGCAGCGGGAAGGGGGAGGACACTGCCCACCTTGCCCACTGAGGGGCCCAGACCCCCAGCAATCTCGATGGCGTGGTTATCCATGAGGAAGGCTGTGATGTCCTTCCAGTCGTAGCCCTCGGGCACCCTGACAGTGGTGATAGTGGGAAGTCTCGCTTTCTGGGGAAGAGAAAAACTGGGTTAAATCTGCAGAACCTGCCCGCAGGCCCTGGCTCCTGGCAGAGAGAACATTGCTTGGGTCAGGGGGGAGCTTTTTCTCTGCTGGCACATCTCCAGCCCCCGAGGGCCGTGTCCTCCTGCTGGGCCTGGACTGTGGTGGGGGGCTGGCCATGCACCCACCTCCTCCTTCACGAAGAGCTCGAGGCCCAGGTTGCGCAGCCCCTGGCACAGCCGGGCACAGTTGGCCCGGTGCCGCTCCCACGAGCTCTCCAGACCCTGTGGGTAGGGAGAAGAGAGAAGTTCCCTGCTGCTGGTGGGGTCCTCCTGGCACTGGTGGGGTCCTCCTGGCGCCCACCACTCCCCAAGACCCCTACCATCTCTGCCAGCATGGCCAGGCCTTCCCGCAGGCTGAAGAAGCTGTTGATGGGCGCCGTGTGGTGGTACCTGCAAAAACACAAATGGGCACCCTGGCGGGTCCAGCCTGGCCCGCTCCAGCTCGCGGCGGAGGGAACCGGGCCACGGCATCCCCCTTCCTCTTCACCCAGCTCATGGGGATGCAAATCCCACCAGGGGACAGGGTGACGAGGAGACAGGGCCTGAGCCCAGGATGGGGTGAAGGCTGGGGGTGTCCCGGGAGAGCCT